GGGGGCGGGGGGGCGGGATCCCAAGAGGGCTTAATAATGGTGGGAAAGAAGCTGGGGGGCAGCCAAAATATTTGCTCCATTGTTGGTGAGCTGGAAGGCCTTTAAGAAAATTCACTTCAATAAGCTTGCATTTCCACCTCCAGGATGTGATGAAATAAGATCGGAGTTGAGAAACAGTAATGACCAATAATATCTTAAATTTCCACATCACAATTTACAGTTTATAAAACACTTTCATAAACCTCAGCTCATTTGATCCTCAGAACAGTCAAGGGGCGACAACGCGGCTATTACTAATTATCTCTATAGTTTTCTGAACGTGGCTCAGAATTTAGGCTACAAGTGTAGGATGCCCGGATCTAAAGTGACAAGAGCCCTGACCCACCGCTTTGTAAAGAGCCCTGCTCCTCTAAGCCAGGCCTTGAACGCTCCGGAGGAGCCCGCTCGAGTTGCTGACGCTACGTAGCAGCTAGAGGGCGCCAAGACTCCACCTGCTTCTTGGTGTTAGGACCCAGCAGAAGCCGGGCTGCCGACCCGTAGAAAGACTATTTGATCGGCTCCGCCGGCGCCCCTCCTCCTTCCCCGCCCACCTGTCTATCTTCACGCAGTGCAGCCAATTGGTGACCTCCACATCCTTATACGTCATCATTACACGCCCGGGTATCTCCCAAGCCACCCCGGTGAGCTCCGGGTTGCAGTTGTCTTCGGAATTGCCTGGTCAAAAGAATCTCTTTAGCGAGGCGTTAACCTTGCGAATTCCTATTCTCCTGACCACTAGGAATGGAGCCAAGGTCTCAGCGTCGCTATTCTTTCCTAGAAGGCAATTGCTGGGTTCTAAGGAATTTCCCTCTCGGCGGCCCTGAGCTGGCAATTCTGGAGGTGACTTCTGGGGCCTAGTGAGAGGCGGTCGCATGCAGCTCCTATGAGGCCCCTGCCGCCGGTCGGCGATGTCCGCCTGGAGTTGTCGCCTCCGCCGCCGGTGCCGTTACCGGCTGTGAGCGGGTCTGTGGTCGGCTCGTCCGGGCGTCTCATGGCCGCTAGCAAATCTCTGGTGCCCGACCGGCTGCGCCTGCCGCTCTGCTTCCTTGGTGTCTTTGTCTGCTATTTCTACTATGGGATCCTGCAGGAAAAGATGTGAGCGGACCCCCGGGGAGGGAACGCAGACATTCCCCCTCATCCAGTCCCCTCTGCCCAGCCTGCGTCCCAGTTCATAAGAATTTTATTTTCTGGCCCTGGGTTTTCCTCTTGTTCTTCCGCCTGGCTCTGGCCCTCCTAGTATTCCGCTACATTTGTATCCGCAGTTGAGCCACCCGCTAATTCCAAAACACCAGAGTTGGCCTCTGGATTTTCGGTACCTGGTTAATTTTCTTCCTTTAGTGTTTTTGCTTTTGCTGGTTTCAAGAACCTTTGAACTGCTGGGCGTGGTGGTGCACTCCTGTAAGCCCAGCGGCTGGGGAGGCTAAGGCTGGAAAATCCCAAGTTCAAAGCCAGTCTCAGCAACTTAGCGAGACCTTGTCTCAAAATAAAATAACAACAGCAATAACAAAAACCTGGAACTTCTACCCCAGAGCAGGTTTCCTTGACCTGAACCAGCTGCTCTTTGAAACTCCCAGATGCTTGCACCCAGCCTGTTCTTTTGCTCTCGGCTTTGCTGTCTAGTGCAAATACTTCTGCCTGGGGTACTTCGTTTCACTGTCACATTTTACTTGTGTCCTTTGTCTCTGTCCTTTATGGATATTATTTCCTTCGACTGTGGGATACACAGGCTGAGATGCCTATGTCCCTTTTGTAAATGAGCCCAGTGATCCTTACAGACACTCTCTCCCTACATCCAAAGAGGAAAGGTAACTCCAAAGCCTTCAGTGGCTCTGGGCACACTAGATGAAATTGAGTGAAATATACTAGTTTCCCCCCTTTTTTTCTCATGCATTTTATTTTTAGAACAAGAGGAAAATATGGGGAGGGAGCCAAACAGGAGACGTTCACCTTTGCCTTAACCCTGGTCTTCATCCAGTGTGTGATCAATGCTGTGTTTGCCAAGATCTGTGAGTACCTAAATAGTAAATTGTTGAGTGTCCCCCACCTCCTGCCACCCTGGACATTCACCTTAAAGTTTTACTTTTTCAAACTCCACCCACTTTAGTAATCACACAACCTCTCTGCAGTCTGTAAAACTAATAATTTTGAAATGAGATTAAATATTATTTCCTTACATTAGCCCAACTATTGAGTTAGAAATATGCAGAAAGTGGATCTTTTGTGTTCTAAATCCCTATTGAGAATACTTAAAACTTTTTTTCCTTTGGCCCTTTGACTTTCCTTTGTGTTTCATCTTCAAACATGTTTTGAACTTTGTTTGTTTCCAGGAGACTAGCAGCAGGGTTAAGTCCTCTCTTGAATGGAATGAGACCTCCATCTCCACCCAACATGTCATCTTGTGTTAGCTTAGGTGGAATTGGGGAGTTGGAATGATTTTCAGCAATTCCTCAGTCTAAGAAGATAGAATTAGTTTGGCAAATTCCTTTCATGCAGCTTCAACTTTTGCTTAGTGGTCCATCCTAGCCCCACCAGGTTTCTCTTGTATGTTTTTTTTTTCTTCTTCTTCTCCCAGTGATCCAGTTTTTTGACACTGCCAGGGTGGATCGTACTCGGAGCTGGCTCTATGCTGCCTGTTCTTTGTCCTATTTGGGTGCTATGGTCTCCAGCAACTCAGCACTACAGTTTGTCAACTACCCAACTCAGGTGAAACTTCAGGGTGGGATGAGTGTTGGCTCAGAATTGTTTGAAAAGGACTGAGGGGGCTTCTGTCATGTCTGTGACTTAAATAAAAAGAAACAGCCCTGGGAAATAGTATTTGAGAAATTCAGAGTATAAAACCTGGAGCTAGGGTATAGTGGTGGGTTGGGCCATGACAGGGCTGCTTTCTGAGGCTAATGTGCCCCATGTAGGCCTTTTGCTTACTTAATGTGACATGTAATATGGTTCCTGGCATGTCACAAATGCTCAGAAATTATTTGCTGAATTTAATTTCAGGTCCTTGGTAAATCCTGCAAGCCAATCCCAGGTAAGCAGAAGAAGATGGTCTCCATCTTTTGTCCTCACTTTTCTTGGAATAAACTCACTTTTCCTCTGCCAGAGAGATCTGTGTCTCTCTGGATTTCATCATAGCTTTCTCCAAAGAGTTTCCTTCAGTCCTTCTCCCTGCCCATCTAGGCATCTTTGCCATTTCCTGTGGTGTGTATTGGCTGGTAAACCTCAGTGCAAGCTGGAGACTAGCTTAGTCAGCTTCACGTGGTCAGTCACTTTGGTGTCCATGTGTTTACATTATTATTACATATCCTAATATCCTAAGTCCCATTTTGCTCATCAGTTTCTTTTTCTCAACCCCTCGTCTTTCCCCACTGTTTCCCACTCATGCTGCATTTCTTCCCGTAACTTTCACCTTTGTCCTCTACCTTTTCCCCGCCTTATACTCTACTCAAGCTTGTTGCTCAATCATCTTTATCTAGGTGCCAGCTTGGCACCCCTCCTCTCACTTTCTTTAGGACTTCTTTCTCGGACATTCTTTTCTTCCTGAGTCTTTTCTTGGCTCCTGGGAGGAGGGTAACCGGGGTAATTGATGCCTGTGAGTACCTGAATTTTCCACTCTGTTTTTTTCCCTGTAGTCATGCTTCTTGGGGTGACCCTCTTGAAGAAGAAGTACCCATTGGCCAAGTACCTGTGTGTGTTACTAATTGTGGCTGGAGTGGCTCTTTTCATGTACAAACCCAAGAAAGTAGTTGGGATGGAAGAACACACAATCGGCTATGGAGAATTACTCCTGGTATGCAGTCCTGGGGAGGGCAGACTTTTCTGGCAAAGTTAACCAGAGGACAGCCCTGGTTAACTTTGGAGACAGAAGGCTAGTTACATATCTTGAGAAAGGTTGTGGTACTCCTTGCCCTCCATTTTTGGGCTCTGCTACAGGGCTCTGCTGAACCCATGATGGGAAGCCTGAAATATTTAACTACAGCTTCTGGGGAACAGATAACTCTGAGGTTTGTGTCTAGATCATAATGTGAGGTCATGGAGACTTGAGAAAAAAGGAATAATGTAGCTCTTACTGTGAACTTCTAAGCAGTGTGGAGGCCAGGGTTAAAAATAATACACTGGGAGCTATTGCTTATGTGTTAGGGACCATTCCAAATCTTTTTCATATTAATTGATTTTTACAACAATCTCCTAACACAGGTAATATTTTACAGATAGTGAAACTGAGGCTTGTTGTCCATGCTATTTAAATGGTGGAGTCAGGATTCCAAACCAGGCAGTCTGACCACAGAATCCATTATTTGGAGCACTGTACTCCAAGCTAGGAAACTAACCTGATGGGATTAGATTTCTCCAGCTTTAATGAAAGCTCTACTTATTATAGTTCCATTCTACAGCTCAGTTAGCCCGTCAATTCAGTGCCTGGGGGACGGACATCATCTCTGCCCACCTTCTACCCAGGACCAAATGACATCAGGTTTCTGTCCTGGGGTAGTGGCTTTTTGAGGAGCCCTGAGGATAGGAATCCTGTGTCCTGAATTAGGGAGAGGACTTGGTGGTTGCATTGCAGGTTGCTCTCTTTTTTTCCCAGCTATTGTCTCTGACCCTGGATGGACTGACAGGTGTTTCCCAGGACCACATGCGGGCTCATTACCAAACAGGCTCCAACCACATGATGTTGAACATCAACCTTTGGTCGACATTGCTGCTAGGAGCTGGTAAGGAGCAGTTCTGCTATTCTTTCCATGTATCACCAGAGGGCAGACTGCACTTGTCCAGTTGATCCTGTCTCTGCTGCCAGTTGCTTACTTTGTGCAGACCAATGCTTGGTTCCAAGATGCCCTTCTGTCTAAACCCTGAGAAACCTTCCTGGAATGACCCGCACTAGCAGGATTTGCTTACTACCTGTCACAAATGCAACAGGGGTCTCTCTCTGCAACAGATATCACGGGAAGACACACATTGTAAAACACATGGAAGTGGGGCTGGGGATGTGGCTCAAGCAGTAGCATGCTCGCCTGGCATGCGTGTGGCCCGGGTTTGATCCTCAGCACCACATACAGACAAAGATGTGTCTGCCAAATACTAAAAAATAAATATTAAAATTCTCTCTCTCCCTGTCTCTCACTCTTTAAAATAAATAAATAAATAAATAAATAAATAAATAAATAAAACACATGGAAGTACCTGGGAACTTTCCCTCTTAGAGGCAAACAAGATATTGGAATAGTGTTCATAGGAAACAAACAGGTATACACTGAATGCAATTCAAATGTGAGTTCATTTTTCTCCCCTGGTACTGGGATTGAACCCCAGGGGTACTCTACCACTGGACTATATCCCCAGCCCTTTTTATATTTTGAAACAGGGTCTCACTGAGTTTCCCTGGCTGGCTCCAAACATACAATCCTCCTGCCCAAGTCTCCCTAAAGCCTGGGATTATAGGCATCTGCCACTTTCCCTGGCTTATATTTTGCTTTGAAATGATTGTTTCCTAATTTTTCAAATTTGGGCACCTGTAGAAAGTATTTTTTGTGTAGCACATCAGGATAGTGGAGGAGGCTAGAGGTGGCTGGAAGTGACTAATGCAAGGAGCTTCCTTGAGTGAGAGGTATATGGGTCACTATCTCTCTCCACAGCACCCAAGGATCTTTGCTGCCTCCAGTCACTGGAGTGGAAGTAACTCCTTAACTTTCAAGCCTTTCTCACCAAATCAAGTCCTTAGTTAGTTTTTCTAATCAGAAAACAAAACAAAAACATAAGAAAGATGTGTGACAGGCAATATAAAGGCACTCCATATAGTTTTCCATACTCATCCTCCTTCATAATACTGGAGCAGACCATGCATAGGTGTGTGTGCCACATAAGATGTGCCATTTTTCTTTTACTGTTTCTTCTTAGGAATCCTGTTCACTGGGGAGCTCTGGGAGTTCTTGAGCTTTGCTGAAAGATACCCAATCATCATCTATAATATCCTGCTTTTTGGCCTGACCAGTGCCTTGGGTCAGGTGAGTTCTTGAGAGGGGATATCTTGGCTTCCTTGTGGAAGGGCTGGTTCCTTAGGAAAGACTGGCCTGGCTGGGATAAGAAATGTCAAGATTAGCCCTGATGGGAGGGGGGATAGTAGAGGATAGGAAAGGTAGCAGAATACAACAGTTACTAATATGGCATTATGTAAAAATATGGATGTGTAACTGATGTGATTCTGCAATCTGTATTTGGGGTAAAAATGGGAGTTCATAACCCACTTGAATCCAATGTATGAAATATGATATGTCAAGAGCTTTGTAATGTTTTGAACAACCAATTAAAAAAAAAAAAAAAAAAGATTAGCCCTGATGTCTGTTACTTTAGACCTAATGGTAAGATACCCAAGAATCAACCTGAGCCACCTTTCTCTCATTCTCTAGAGCTTCATCTTCATGACAGTTGTGTATTTTGGTCCCCTGACCTGCTCAATCATCACGACAACTCGGAAGTTCTTCACTATTTTGGCCTCTGTGATCCTCTTTGCCAACCCCATTAGCCCCATGCAATGGGTAGGCACTGTACTTGTGTTCCTGGGTAAGTTCCACCCAAAGAAGACACCTCTCTTGGCTACACAGAGGGGCGATGACAGAGCTCTTTATGTTTTTTCCCCTAAAATATAGTTATGTATTTGAAAATTTAGCTGTTTTAGAGAAAACTTTCTCAAAAGAGAAAAGGAAGCATTATTTCTAATGTATTCTTCTTAATGTGCTTTTCTTCAGTGGTCTCCTTCCACTGACTTGATTTACCCAGATCCTGAGCAAGACAAAATTATGCTATTCCCTACTAACTTGTGATGACATAGATGAACTGAGAAAACTGTCTTAGACATTCTGACTCAACTTTCTTTCAGACTTGCTATATGTACACACACACACACACACAAATATGCATGTGAACATGCATGCGTGCACACACATATATTTGTCATTAACCAGTATCTTGGTCATTTTGTTTGTTTGTTTGGTGCTATTCTGTTGTCTCTGAGAAAGTTATGTAGAACCAGTGTTCTGAAATTCAATTTATTTAAATTTCGAGAACCAAGACTAACTCCCCCAAATCATTGGTAGGTTTTGTGTCTCCCCATGAAGCTAAGTCCATTTTCTCCTTTCCATAGGTCTTGGTCTTGATGCCAAGTTTGGGAAGGGAACAAAGAAGACAACCCACTAGGAAGAGAGAGACTACCTCCACTCCAAGAATACTTAAGTTATTTCTCCAACAGTGACATCTCCTGGGAAAATGGACTTAGTAGTGATAAGGAACTGGGTTCCAGATTTTGTTGTTTTTTTTTTTTGTTTTGTTTTGTTTTGTTTTTAATCAAAGGAAGCAAAATCACATACTCTAAAAAAAGCTCTTGGATTTTCATAAGATGAGTGGGCAGTTTCTGTTCTTGATCAACTGGGGCATAGTCTAGTACAATTAAAGAGAGAAGGAAGAGGCAGGGGTCTGCTTGCATCCCACTCTGCCCCTGGCTGCTCTCTTAGGTGTGGGTGGCATGGTTGGCCAAGTGATTCCCCAAGAGTCTGAGCATGATAAGGTGGAACCTTGAGAGATTGTATGATTGTATGGCTGTGCCAGTAGTCTCTGTTCCTACGGGCGAAGCTCTAAATATGCTATGACAGGTAGCTGTCTGTTACAACTACAGATGTAGGCATCACTTCTTAAGTTTGGGTGGGCAAGCATGTCATGAAAAACCGAAGGTATGTTCTCTCCTTATGAAGTACCTCAAGGTTAGGGTTAAATGAACCCAGATTCCCAGAATTTGCTAGTTTTTCTCTTTTCCCCACTGCCTCTCTCAGCCAAAGCATGACAGAGAGACCCCATGCATGTATCAAACAGCTTTGGAAAGTCTGTGAATGTACTTTTCCTATTCCCTCCCTCCATCTCTCCGTCTGTTCTCAGTCCACCTGGTCCCCTCCAGGGAGGCTGGATTAATCCCTCCTATTCCCCTGCCCCCCTTCAGCTGCGAAAGCATTGCAGTCCTCTGCCATCCTGGCTGTGCCAAGGTGACACCATGCCAGCTTCTGCCTGTTGAAAGGGATGCTGGCGGAAGGCATGGTGGCTGAGTCCTGGCACAGAGCCGCTGTAGAGTTTTCTGGGTGGTAATGGGGGGAGAAGGCGGAGCATGGAGCAGAGCCACCTGCCCACTTCTGCCTTCAGAGTTGGAAATCATAATCCTCCAAGGACCAAACTTTACACATGAAAGTGCATTTCCACCAGCTGCAACTTTCCCTCCATCTGTTCAACAGCCCCAGCCCCTTGGCTCTCCAGATGGGAGCGCGCGGCCTCCTTCCTGAACACTGCCTTGGCACCCCCCCTCCCCCTGACTTTCAAGCCCTGCCTCACTTGCACTCATCTTGCTCCCTAGGGGCCAGGGTGTCACTGCAGCCCTGCCTCCACAGTGGCTCCTTCCCCCATTTTTAACTCCTCCTTGAGAAGTTTTAAGTACATCTGGCTGAACTAACTTCCTTTCTCCACCCTTTCCCCTCTGTTTTTTCATCCAGAAGGTTTCATCATTTGGCTTCTTGCCTGCTAGACTGATAGTTCTTCCAGTGTCTTCTGCACATTTGTTAGATGGTTAGATCGGGTTACAGGGTCAGGGCTAACAAGCAAGCATTATCCAAGCCTGCTGTTTAAAAAAGAGACATCTTCCCAGCTATCAGACTTGGCCCTTCCACCTCTTCCCTCTGCCATTCCCAACTAGCTGTCTCAAAAATGCCTAATACTAATCACCAAGAGCAAGACGGGGTGACAGCAGCTCAGCATCCTGGAGAGATGGCTCACAGGGTAAGCCTGTTCTACCAGTGGTGGCTGGTCCTGTTCTAATGTGTTCACTCAATCTCTTGTCCATTCATCCAACATTTATTTCCTTCTGGATGCCACCCACTGTGAGCATGCTGGGAGTTCAGTTAAGTAGAACTAGTATTTACCCTCTAGGGGGCTCACAGTCTAATTGGGAGATAGGAAAACCGAATCACTGCTTCTCAGAAATGCAGGGATAACAACGAAGGAAGGTGTCCAGGCAAGGTGAGGCTTGACTGGAAAGTGTAGGAAGATGAAAGTAGCAGATGGAGCTTGGCAGCATTGCCAAGCAGGAAAAGGGTTTTCAACTGCCTGACTGCTCCCCCTTTTACCCCTCTCGTCAGTTCCAATGAGAACACATGGCAGGACAATAGCTTTCATTACTCAACGTGAAGATAATCTGAAAATGTTTTGTAAGCTGCCAGCTTATCCCGGGTGACATACTTACCTGTAGCATCACAGGGACAGAGAGTGCCAGATTTGACTAAAATAGGTACCACTGTTCGCTTGTAACATTAGGGCTGATAAATGTGAAATACCAGACAAGTTCAAACAGAAGTGTTGTTGATCACTAACCCTGGGCGGCCTGATGCCTCAGGTTTCTAAAGATCAAAGGACTTTCATCTGCAGTTAATTCTCAGCTATGTGCAGAAGGGAGGAAACCAGCATGCAAATTTCTCCAAGCCCTGTGTTTTCAGTTTGGGGCAAGTTGTACTTATTTCTATTTTGGTCAAAGCATCAGGTCCACCTCCTTTGCTGTTCTTGCACAGGCTCATGGTATAGTGATTTTTCATTTCCTGTATACCTCAGTCTACAGCAAGGGGAGGGACCCACAAATGTAATTTGGGGTACCATCCTAGGATAACCTATTCTGGAAGTAAACATTAAAAGAAATAAAAATCACATTGTTTTATAAAGGACTTCAATTGGCAGGAATTAACATTAACTGGATAATCAATGAAATGGGTATTTAGGAATAAATGATGTGTTTTTCCACTGCTCTCTAATACCCTTGTAAAGAGGACTGAGCAAATTTCTGCATTTTTTAGAGATAGAAGAACCTAAAAGAATATAAGGTGACTAGCAGTAGGTTCCTGGGTATGTCCGTGAGTTGTGTCCTCCAAGGAAGGAAAGTAAAGCTCTTCAGAAGCCCTATAGCCTCCACTGTCTGGCTCCACTTGTCAGGGAACAGTTTGCACATTTATGAGTGGAGCTGGTCATTTTCCCCAGATGCCCTGGCAGAGAAATTGTCCCAGGTCTCTGTGGGATCATTCAACCCTTCCCATCAAAAACCTACCAGCTGTCTTTAGGAACAGTAATCTCATATATTTATAGAGCTCCTGTTTTCCCAAAGCTCTTTAGTAAGCGACATTTTATCCTTAGAACACTCCTGGGGGAGAAGTTAGGCCAGAAGCAGGTCTCTCCATATTTGGAGTAGGAATCCTGAAACCCACCCAAGTGCATCACCTGAAGGTGGCAGGACTCCATGGGAGGATGGGAATCAGAAGTGAGCCTCCTGTCTGACTTCCCACCACTGGGGGTCAGGGAGCTCTTTAACCCTCATCTAAGCCAGTAGATCCCAGCTGTTTGGGTTCTCTGGAAATTCCCAGTTGAAATTCCAAATAATTTGGTGGTCTGATACAGGTATGCTGGCGTTTTATTTTTTCAAGGACATTTTTAAAATGTTAATTACCATTGTAGGTTAGAAAAGGACATTTTAACTAAAAAAAAAAAAATTAGGAAAGGCTTTCTGCCTTTCAAGGTAATTATAATTGGAAACTATATTGCTATTGTAAATTGCAAGTTAAATGCAGAAAATATTACTCTGATAATATATTGTAGGGTATATTGTTATGATTATTTGCCTGATACAACTTGGAGTTTGGCAGCTATGTTCCATGGCGCAATGCAAAGGAACTACAATATCAGATAAATGTGGAGAACGATAGAAGCAGACTGTGATGAGATTTTTCATGACTTAGAACATTCTGAGAACCCAAAAACATCCCCTGGCATTGGCTCCTGCTGCTTTCCCTCTGTGGGGCCATGAGGAGAGTAGGCTGTAGAGGCTCCAAGGGCTTTCCAGGAAGGGTTGCAAGGAGACCTGGGCAGCCCTACCAGATATATATCCCCAGCATGCTCACAGTGATCAGACTGTGGCTTTGATCACTCAGTCGAGGGTCCAGACTGTATTCTAAAGGGTAGCCATCTACTGGTGAAAGCCAGTTTCTGACAGGCAGTCCTCAGACTGGGAGCCAGTGGGCTGGGCCTGCCATTGGCATGAAGGATGGGAATGGGAACTGAGAAGGACTTGAATTGAAGAGTGATTCATATAGTACCTTCCGCTTAGCTGAGGCACGAGCCCACAAGGGCTGTTGGGTTTTCTGTCCCAATACGCCTGACTCCCTGTAATTTCTGGGAGCAGTAAAAAAAAAAGAATTGGTTCAAGGCATTTACCAAGGGGGAGGGACAGTGCTATTTCTGGTTTTGTCACAGGGTTCAGGGGTCCAGAGCAAATAGAGGAGCACCGTGTTTTAGCTTAAGTTTGGACCAGATGCTGTTTGCTCCTATTCAGGACCCCAAACTGCCCTAGAGGGACTGTGTTACTCCTATGTAAAGGCTGGGAACTCCCTGAAATTTTATTAAATTGGGTGTATGGATGTGCGCGTGCGCGCGCGCACACACACACACACACACACACACAAGCACACGTGAGAGAAGAGAGGAGATATGTCAAGCTGGTAGGTTCACTTTTTTTTTTTTTAAATAAAAGGAATATACAGTTCTCTTCAGATTAACAAGGGGGTTAGTACATAGGCTCCACCATACTCACTGGACTCCATTAATTAAAGGTGATTTCCCAAATAGAATTGTAAAATATGAAAAGCCATCACCTGCATCTCTGCTTGCATGGAGGATTAGGGTTGAGGATACAGAAATACCTGAGGAGAGCAACCCATCCAGCTTCATTTCTAGTTTTCACCTGGCATCATCCACACACTATCTAGGGCTAACAGATTTAACAAATAAAAATACAGGATGCTTGGCTAAATTTGAATTTCAGATAAACAACACATACTTTTTTGGTTTAAGTATATCCCCAGATTCAAATTTAACTGGCATTCTGTATTTTATCTGGCAACATTATCAGTAGCATTAGTCATTATCACGAATGTTCTCATGGTCTCCTCTCTTCCTAGGAAGGCACTTTCACATACATCACAACTTGAAGTTCTGTGTGCAAGGCTTTCAGGTGCTTTTGTTCTGGGCCCGAAATTTTATAATTCCTCTCATGGACCAGGGGAGGTGCAGGTTCAGACTCGGTCAGCAGGGGGCACCATTCTCTAAAAATAGATTCCCAAGAGAGTTCCAGGGGCTTCAGGAAGGGGAAGGGGGGACACGTGAGAGTCGAAGGTTCTATTTGCTGCTCCTGTCTTTCCTCTGGAGCTCACTTCTCACCCTGCCATCCTGCCAAAGCTATTTTTGTGAATCAAGAATCTGATCCTGTCACTCCACTCTTCACTTACACGGTTCCACCGTTACCTTCTCAATGCAGCATAAAATAAGCCCTTCAGGATCCTACTGGAGTCTCTTTTCCCAGCATCATCAACTCCTGCTACTTCTAGCTTGCTTATCCCACCCACCTCACACTCCCGGCACCCCCATTCACCAGCAACTATTTGTAGTTTCCCTGTATGCTATTTACTGTCATGCCTTTGTGCCTGAAATTTCCTCTTAGAATTCCTTTTCCAATTGGTCCTTCTAGTGACTGTTCATTCAACACATTTCACCATTATGCATTCAGATGGATCACATGACAGGCACCACACTCTGCATTGCAGGTACAATGAAGCAGGCCACTGACTGGAGCCTTGATTACAATTCACATTGAGGGTGATGGGAAGAGGGACAATAAACAAACAAATAAACAAGCAGTTAGTTCAAGGGTTAACTAACATGTTTTACTCAAATAGAGTTGACTGTTCATACCTAGGGCCTCTGATGGCTTTCATGTTGAAGGTTCTAAGTCCCAACACCCACAAAATCATTGCTGAGAACATGCAGGAGTGAAGCAGTTAGGTTTAAGTCAGTAGGGAAGGGAGTGGGTAGCGGGTGAAGGGGAGTATGACCTGTGATAAATTGAGAGTGGCTGTCCCACCTACAATGTGCAGTGACTTTTCACTTCCTGATTGAGGCCAAATTTGTTATTTTAAGAAAAGCTGGGGCTTGGGATGTGGCTCAAGTGGTAGTGTGCTTGCCTGGCATGCGTGAGGCACTGGGATTTGATTCTTAGCACCATGTAAAAATAAAATAAAGATACTGTGTTCACCTAAAAAACTAAAAAAAAAATAAACATAAAAAAAAGAAAAGAAAAGCTGGAAATCCTGATTTTTCATGAACTCTCCCATTTTTTGGAATTCTTTGCCAGATTAAACATATAAGCAGGTCAGATTTGGCCCAGGGCCACCAATTTGCCACCTTCCATACTGCACCACTTGCATCATTGCTTTTTTTTTTTTTTAAAGAAGTTTTTAGTTGTAGTTGAACACAATACCTTTATTTTATTTATTTATTTTTATGTGTGCTGAGGATTGAACCCAGGACCTCACATGTGCTAGGCAAGGAGTGCTCTACCACTGAGCTACAATCCCAGCCCACCTTTTATCATATTAGTGCTCATAGATGTTTTTAATCCCAAGACTATATATTTGTATCTTTAACCCCTAATGCAGTGTGACGGGCTCATCTAAGAGTTTGATAAATGTTGGTGGAAGGGAGAAAAGAAGGAGAGAGGGAGGAGACAAAGTGGGAACAACAGTTTATTGATGGAAGTTCTTATTGCCATTGCTCTGGGCAGAGGATAGATGGAACAAGAAAGCCTGATTCTGAATTTATTGCTGAGTGTGAGTGTGTACATACAAGTGTGAGTTCCCATGTTAGCAGGTGTGACAGCTGGAAAATGTGTCCAAGACCCATCAGCTCCTTTTCCTGTGGGCTCTCAAGCTACTCCTTCTTGTTCTTGGAGGATGAGGGGGAGGAGAAGAATGCAGGTCTCATGGTGGACTTATTGGCTTCCTTCCAGGACTGGCTGCCCCTGGCACAGAGATCAGAAAGAGCTTAGATAGGCTTTTGGCACCAACTGATGCATCCTCAGGGGAAGGTGTCTGGCAGCTGCTGCCACCCACTGCCTACCCACCCGAGTGCCCACTGCATAGCAAGCAGTCATGCAGATCAGAGTTAAAAGGCTTTCTCTTCTCACTTGTCCAAAACGGGATCATCAAAATGATCCTTTACCCTGCGTTGGGGGAGGACACTTACGAGCAATCAAAACTCCCAAGTAAAAGAGAAGGATGGAGGTGGCTTACACTCCTTGTTGTAGCCCCCAGAAGCAAAGCAGGCACTTGACCCCTGAGTAGTCTGCTACTTTCCATGAAAGATATGCTGTCCTTTTTATCCAGCAAGGATGCTGCCTCACGCCCACATGGAGCAACCCATATGCGTTCTCCCCCTCCCAGTGAATAAGGACATATCTTTGAAAAGTAGACACATGAGCTTCAGAAGGTATATTTTCTCTGAGAAGTAACTAGATCATTCAAGAATCAGAACTTCCATCTTGGCCCCAAAATCACCTGGGAGGCTTGGAAGTGGCAATTTTCTGAATGGGACAGAACAGAGGGTATTGGGGCCATCTCAGTGGGTTGGAGTCACTTTCTAGATTGGTCTATGGAAATTTCTGTCCCATGTTTCTCTCTCTGAAGAGAGGTACCTTGAAAGCCAAAACCACCCTGGTATCCACATTTCCTATGCTCCCTACTCAGCATTAGGCCAGCCAGAAGCTTGAAATAGGACTTCCCAGGAAGCAATCCCTCCTGCAGGCAGTGCTAACTTGGTCCAGACTCCAAGCTCTAGATCAGGTTTCTGTCCCAGAGTGACCAACTGAGACAGGAGCACCCAGGGGACTGTGGTCCCGAGCTGTGTGTGGTCTTGGGGAAAAGGGAATAAGGGAAGGGAGGGCAGAGACAGTAGGGCAAGGATCCTGAATTGTTTAGGCTTTTGCTCAGAGAAAGGACAGAATCAAAAGTGAATTGAGTCATTTGGACAATACCTATTTTTCCTAAATTTCCAGAGGCAGGAATGCTGACCCAGTGTCTTGAATCTGGAAGTGAGAAGATTCCTTAATACCTTCCTGGCTCTTTTCTAATCCACATATTAGAATTTCTAGTAAAGCATCTCCCTGGGGTTTCCACCTGATTCTAAGCCCCTTTCTTCCCAATTTGCCTCACTTGGATTAAAGGGAAAAGGCACACTCCCTCTTTCTCCTTTCCCTCTGCACAAGCTACCTATGATCCCCTTCCATTCCTGCTGTTTCCTTCATTCCCTTTCACAGCCCTCCTTTCCTCTGGTCCTTCTCTTCTTTCCCCTCTCTCCACACTTTCTTGCTCTCCATTTCTGTGGTTCTGACAGTGAATCCTTTCCTTGGCACAGGCCCTCAACTGCTCACCAGCCCCCCTGGATATCTCTCCTTATTTCTGTAGATTCTTCCAATTATTTCTCTGGCCTCTTTGGGAGCCTTCCCCTCTGGCCACAACAGCCTCCTGTGATGATCCAGAACTAATTTCCATTAGAGGGTGGGAGTGGGAAACCAGTTTGAATAAACTGGAAGCTGTTTGGCAGTCTGCTCTGCTCTGCTCTGAGGGCCTTACCAGAGTTAGGTGAATCTTAGGGAAGATGACACCATTGCATAGACTATTAAGAGCTACAGGATCTAGTTTTAATGAATGGAGGATCAAAGGCATTTTAGAGTTAGCCAGTCCTTAAAAACAAGGGTCAATGATGGGGAGGATCCGAGGCCCTTACCACAGAAAACAAAGCTGTGACTCAAAGCCATCATCAAGATGTTTCCTTGCTCATCCACGTTCCTGAGTTTAATGTTGTTGGCTTGGGAATTAACTTTGAGGCTTTCCAATGTAGATAAAAATAGAGCTCATAAATGCCATCAGAGGCACTTCCGATAAGGTGGCCTTTTAAGGGAAGACTGGCTCCCAGCAGAGGGTCTGAGTCAAGAAGCCTTTTGGAGGAGTGTTCGGGGCTCTTACAAGCTGCTGACCAGCCTGTGGCTGGCCAAACAATGGATGGATGCAGAAAGAGGAAGCTAAATGGAGGCTTTTGTGGCTGAAATTCCAGGAACAAAGTTCTTGAAAGGAATGTTTATTTCACTGATTCATTTATTCATTCCACATGCATTTATCTGAATACCTTTATGTGCTAGGAATGCTATTTGGTGCTGGAATCATGATAGAGAAAAAGGAGATCCCTGCTCCCAAGGAGCTTACTGCTATTTGAGGAACAGAGGGTGGGACTAGAGCAACTGCAGTGCAGGTGAGATGCAGGGAGGAGAAGCAAGGCAAGAACTAGCTCAGGGTTTTGGGACATCTGACAGCTTCCTAAAGGAATAGCAGGAGGAATTGAAACCTAAAAGATCAGCAAACTATTACA